CTCTCTTAAGGTCACGTCAGGACAGAAGGACATCATCGTAGTGTAGTAAAGAGCACTCATCACTACTCAGTCTTCCCTCAAGCTGTTTCATGACAGTTAAGCAAACATGGTGACAGATTTCCAACCAGTACACCGTATTTTGGCTTCGCACCCTCATGGCGGCTTAAACATGTGGGATATAATCTGTCATATCATCATTGTTGATGCTGTTTCCCAGAGTTTTCATCGCCAACTACTTTGGCAGTTTTATTGCTCAGAGGTTGCTCTTTCATAGCTCAGGAGACTTTGTGCAGTTCTAAGTCATGTTTTATTTAAATGTGACATATTGTCTCTGATATTTCTCCTAAACTACTTTTGCATGAGTAAAAATAAACAATCGAAATAACCTGACAAAGTGCAGTACGAGAGCATTCAGGTTGGGCACTTCTCAGACTGGGTTACTCTACCAGATAAACCAGCAAAGACCAGAAAACTGTCATAGGCTGGTTTACACATTTTACAGCAGGAAGTATATTTAGATGCATTACTCATGGAGGAAAGAATATCTGAACCAAAATACTTAAATATACAATTTGTCCTTTTAACACATAACTAGACAAGACAAATTTCCACACAGCGTTTAGCAGAACAGCAGGCTCTCTATATAACATATCAACCCTGTTACCATGATTTTATGTAGTAAACCACTGATAACTGAAAAGTGGGCATTTGTAGAAATGTCAACAAATAAATTATATTTCCTTAAAGAATCATGTTCTTGAGCAAAAGGCACATAATGTCAGGTTAAACCATGAAACTGTCAATCCTGTTACCTTTTAACACGGTATCATTTAAGGAGTATTAACAAGTCAGATGAACGACTTTTGGGGGAAAAAATATATTAACCTACATACTTGCATCTTTCTTGCTTTCTCAATAAAAAGACCTTGGTTAAAAAAAAGAGGTCTAAACAAAAATCTAATTTCTGTCATGACAACTCTCGGAGGGATTAGTATGGTAATGCACATGACAATGTTAATGTATTTGGTCTTGGCGGAATAGATCTGCTACGCTGCTGCTGCTGCGGCAGAGCAAGTACCGAGACTTGCTACTGCCAATACATCCACAACATGCTGCTGTAAGCATGTAAGAAATACTGCTGCTGCACATATAACACATATTAATAACCCCCATATAGCATACATGAATCACCCCGTAGCAGATCTATACAGGTGGAGCTGGGGAAGGTGGAGGGTTTCTGAAATGTCCTGCCAACTGCTACAGCAAACAAAAGCCAGGTATTTGAATATTGAGCAGCGAGCTCATTGGCTAACGATACAGGACAGAACCAATCGGCTGACATGTGACAATGATGTCGCCAGGTCGGATTGAGCTAGACCTATCGGACTGCGCCATCTAGAGTTTCATGCCAGAACTCTGTATTTATACAACTTGTGTTTGACAAATACTTAGACAAGACATTTCCACGGGGCATTTAGCGTTCCTTATAGTATCATGACCCTGCATATAATGGTAAGTGAAACCATGAAAATGTCAACCCTGTTACCTTTTAGACTTTTTTAGGGAGTATTGCTGCTTCAGATTAATGACTTTTGGTGGGAAAAGAGCTAAACCACAAACAGTTGCTTATACAAGTTATGTCCTTTCAACAAATAACTATTAGACGAGATAATTTTTCATACAGTGTTTAACACAACAGGAAACAGTCTATATAAAATGTTAACCCTGTTACCAAGATTTAATTTAGTAAACCACTGATGACTGAAAAGTAGGTATTTGCAGAAATGTCAATATTAATAAATTCCCCATATAGTATCATGACCTTGAGCACAATGTCAGTTTAGACCATAAAACTGTCAACCCTGTTACCTTGAGGCTGGTTTAAGCTGTTTGTTTAGGGAGTGTTCCTACTTCAGATAAACGACTTTTTAGGGAAAAAGGAGCTAAACAAACAGTTCCATATATGATTTGTATCTCTATAATAAATCTTTTCAGTATAATAGCAGGCTGTCTATTCGTGGTCAACTACATAGTGCTTTGTATTACAAACATATCTTCCATCAATAGAATAATCTGAATCACCCTTTGGCATGATTTCCCAATGCTTAATCATACCATATATAACAGTTAGAGCAAATATTTCAAAGGCACCCAATTCTCAGTGGAGCTGTAACGTACGTGAATATTGTTGTGCTGGAGCTAGTTTATTTATTTGTTTGTGTCTGCGCGTGTGAGAGCAAACGAGGATTGTCAGCGTTGTCAGCCAGCAGCCAAGGCGTGCCTCAAAAGCCTGTCTCGTGGAGCCCATTTTCCCCAGGAAGCACTGTGACTCAGTTGTGGTTGACTGTGGAGATCTCTACATGTTACAGCCCTGCGAGTGGCATGTTTTCCTAGTTCACTTTGAGGTCCTCTTCTGTTCTGAAGTATCCTCCTCTCCCCAGTCTAACAGACGAGATGGCTAATACTTCAATCAGCACACAAGCAAACGTTACACCCTGTATGTACGGTCTTGTTGGAAAACTGACACGGTCCCTAGCGATAAAAGTCTATATTTCGCAGACGTGAGAGCTTGTGCGATCTCGCTGGTTTTATTTTTCTATAAAGCAAAGCTGCATTTCTTGACTCATTCTCTCAGACAAGACCTTGGAATAATAAAAGCGTGAAAGGGCAACTTACATGAGTCTTAAACTGAAACCTCACAATGCTTGGAAAATGGTCAGAGAAAAACAAAAGGGGTAATTTCATAGAGAATCAATATATTTGTCTTTTCGACACCAATGGATAATGGACCCCAGATCTGCTGGGTGTATGCTGTGGTTTATTGCCGTCTGTAGATTGTATTATTTTCCACCCAGAATTCTTGGGTGATATGGGTAATGCTGTGACCTAATTCAGATGGGGAACCACCCACAGGAAATCCCCCTGAATGCTGCTGAGGTAATCAGGGTCTCACAGACCTACCAACAGTTCTGATTTGTGGGTCATCGGAGTTGTGCAATATGACGCTGCAGTGTGAACCCTCTTAGTTTCAGTGACCCAGAACAACACCTCTCGGAAATGTTGCATTGTATCGTGTGTCAGAAAAAAAAACAGTTTCCTTTGAGTTTGGGTTACCTTGGGAACTGCTCTTTCCACAACTACCTCTCCACACCACACACAGGAAAACACACTCGCAAAAAATACGCTCATCAAAAGACAGGGAAGCTGTCACAGGAAACGGCATGTTTAATGCAGCGAACACATTTACATGAGAAACTTTTCCTGTGCAGGAACATGATTGATCGTGGTTCAACAAAAACACAAGGTAGCTACAATATTGCAATTCACATAAAATCTACCGCATTATTTTGTTCACTAAGCAGGGTAAAGACCTTTGAAGAGCATGCAAGAAAACTGTGCTGCAGGATATAGAAGTTGATGTTTTGGCACTTGAACCTGAAATCTGTGACTGAGTCAAAATCACCAGTTCTTTCGCCATAATTTACAACATGGGTGCCATTCGTGTCTCTCATATACATATTTGTAAAATGACTTTAACGATGAAGATGCTAAATTTTTACTTTGTGTTAGTTAAGGCAATTTTCTAAACACATCAGAACAAATCCAGGAACTTAATTTTCAAAACATTTTCTCTTTCTTTTTTTTGATGTAGACACATTTGAATCTACATTTGAATCTACATTTGAATCACCCATTTCACGAAATGTCTCTTCCATTACTTCAGGATTAAATCTGCTGAATAGAGTACAACTGTGCCTGCCGACTTTTTCTGCCGCATTGGTTCCAGAATAATTTTTCCCACTCATTTTCCACATACAAATTTTAAAAAAGATGAAATAATGCAAAATGATGGCTTTAAAAAAAGCATATGCAACTGATTAAAGGGATAGTTCACCCAAAAATGAAAATTTGATGTTTATCTGCTTACCCCCAGGACATCCAAGATGTAGGTGACTTTGTTTCTTCAGTAGAACACAAACAAAGATTTTTAACTCAAACCGTTGCAGTCTGTCAGTCATATAATGTCAGTGGATGGGAATCACGGCTTTGAGAGTAAAAAAAAACATACACAAACAAAACCAAATTAAACCCTGCGGCTCGTAACGATACATTGATGTGTAAAGACACGAAACGATCGGTCTGTGCAAGAAACTGAACAGCATTTATATCGTTTTTTACCTCTGATGCACTGCAATGTCCGAACTGTCCTGAGCGCGTCCTCGACAGCCGGTGTCATGAGAAATCGAGTCCCCCCTCGAAATCTGGTCCGCTTAGGACCAAGGCGGTAGCTGTTTTAAATGCCTGATCAAAAGTCAACACTTATGTTACTATTTCGCTGTGAATATATGTATGGTAAGTGCAAATGCGTGGTGTATAAGCTAACCTAGCAGGCTAATCGGGTAGCTGTATGCTATGCTAGTACGTGAGCTAACCAAAAAAACCCAAAAAAAACAATAAAAACGAGAAATGTTTGATTTCACAACCTATAGCTTTGGATACTAGCGTATGAAACATGTAATTTAAAATACATTAATGGTCATTATAATGAAGTTCAAACGACATAAATCAAAGTGCGATTTTGCAGGAATTGTAATCAGGCGCTAAAAATAATAGCCATTAAAAGTTCGTTGAGCCAATGGGATCACTCGGGGTCCTAAGCGGACCCGATTTCGAGGGGGGACTCGATTTCTCATGACACCGGTGCCTGATGCATCTTCTTCTTCTTCTTGCTTTACGGCAGATCGCAGACTTATAAGTGCATTACCGCCACCTATCTCTAAAGTGGAACATTGACACTCCTAACTGAGATTGTAGATAGAGTGTCAATGGTCCATTTTTGCGACAAAAACCATCATGCAGCCAATAATTGCTATATAGTATATATTGCTTTTCCGGAGTATACTGTATGAGCGCAGGTCAAGTAGGACGTTAATGCAAACACAGACTGTCTGCTAAAACAAACAAATTATTATAAGTAATTATCAATTAACTGGCATCTGGTTCAGTACCTGTTTGCATCCAGTTTAGGCTGAGGCCTCTTCACTGTTCGTCTTTTTGCCACTGGCACTTCTGCTAGTTTTGACACTTCTCCTTCCTCCTCACCTAAACATGTAGCATGGGAACAGCTCACATTACTATAGCATCAATTGGACAAAGATTCCTAAAGATTTTGAGCACTTATAGCATAGGAGCACCATGAAAGACAGACCCTCTCCATTGCCAAAAGGATCCTCCTCGATGTCTCCTTGACCAGGCGATGGAGGAGGAGGGAGAGGAGGGAACCTCTCATCCTCTATGTGCTCATAATCTGGAATGTCAAACGCGTCATTTTCTAACGGATCGAGCATGGTGCACGGGATCCTGTAGAGAGATAGGAGCATATGCTCAATTCTACAACACAATAATTATACTTTCAGTGGCGTTCAAGTAAATTATTGGCTTCAATGACTTCAATGTTAAAAAAAAATCTTATTTTTGCAGTATGTTTAAATAGACGGCCGAGTATGCGTTGCACGCTATATTCATCCAAACAATGTCACGGACTCATTTATGAAAATAATGAAGTTTATGGGTTTAAAAAATAGTCTGAAAAGTACATAAACTGTACAAAACAATGGTACATGATTTAATTATCGGAACTAATCCTTATATTAGCACACCTAGCGCACATACAATCATAGAACTAAACAGATTAATGTAAACGTAACGTTAAAGGAGAGCTGTTTGTTACTGTCACAGCATTTTGGCGCCAGACAACGTCAATCCGCACATCGCCCTCGGTTTCGCCCATGTCTGGATATCAAGCCCAACCGATGTCACCGTCATTTCAGTGCGGTCCACCGAACTTACTGAATAAATGCTGTCAAAGGACGAAACTTCAACACCGACCGCAGCACAAGATCATCAACACGGACCACAGCCAAAGTTTCTGCCGCCGGCCGTGGCTTCTTCTTCTTCTTCTTCTTCTTTGGAATTTTTGGCGTATTCCGCACCGTAGGCACATACCGCCACCAACTGTTTATATACATACATGGATGATAGTCCCGTCTCTATTCATTTCTGCTTGATTTACGGCGGATCGCAGACTTATAAGTGCATTACCGCCACCTATCTCTAAAATGGACCATTGACACTCCTAATTGAGATTGTAGATAGAGTGTCAGTGGTCCATTTGAGAGATAGGTGGCGACAATGCACTTATAAGTCTACGAGCCGCCGTAAAGCAAGAAGAAGACGCGTCACACGCTGGCTGTCGAGGACGCACTCAGGCCGCGCTCAGGACAGTTCAGACATTGCAGTGCATCAGAGGTAAAAAACGATATAAATACTGTTCAGTTTCTTGCACAGACCGATCGTTTCTTGTCTTTACACATCAGTGTATCGTCACGAGCCGCAGGGTTTAATTTGGTTTTGTTTGTGTATGTTTTTTTTACTCTCAAAGTACTCTTTTTTTTACTTCCAATATAAGACTGACAGACTGCAAGAGTTTGAGTTAAAAATCTTCGTTTGTGTTCTACTGAAGAAACAAAGTCTCCTATATCTTGGATGCCCTGGGGGTAAGCAGATAAACATCAAATTTTAATTTTTGGGTGAACTATCCCTTTAACAACCTCGTAGCTCAAAGTAGGTCTGCCATTAACAGTTTATAAGTTATTGTTAAAATATAAAAATCATTTCTCCATGGAGAAAATGGATGGGATTTTTACTTCAGGAACCCGACTGTTGCACTCTATTTCACATACATAGAGGCAGCCTTTTTAAATACATGCAGATTTAGCAGAAACCTTTACAGCATTCAGGAAGCTAATGATCTGTATGATGGTTGGGTTTTTCACTGTCCATCCCTATGGTGGATGAGTTCAGAATTCCTCTAGTCCTTTACCTCATTATAAATTAGCCTCTGGATTTTGTGAACGCACATCATTTAGCCTGTGAATTGTACTCATGGGATCCATAAATGTTCTCACAGCAGACTGAAATCTTGATTCATTGTTTTGATTTCTTTTCTCTGTGACTACGTGTCAGTCGATTTAGTGTCAGAGCAAAAATAACTGCACAAACTAAAAAAACAAGTTTTTGTTTCAGTTCAAAGGACACTAGGTAGAGCTCACCACCTTCATTAATTAAAGGGACACTTCACCCAAAAATCATTATTTAATCACAAAACAACATTGGGATCAATCTATCACTCAGGATCAAAACGACAAAGTATTTACACATCAAGCAGCTCATATGCTTGCTGGTAATTGCCATTGCACTGTTTGACGATCTCCTCCAGCATATCTCGCTCATAGTATGGAAACCTATTCTGGAGTTTGATCAGGGTCCACATATGGTCATGATCTACAAGGAAAAACACAAACAAATTGTTAATGTACAGTAGTTTAACTAATATCTCCATAGCTGAATCACTCTACGTTAGCATTTCCATGCACAAAATGCGAGCGTGAGGCTGCCAAAAAATTATGAGCAACATGGTCACTTGTTCCTAGAGACTTCGGATGCTGAATCTCTCACACACATCCTTCTAATAATGTGCAGCTATGCAGCGCTGCAGCGCAAGATTGACCTCCCTGCTGGTTCATCTGGTTCATGGAGCAGGACAGACAGGGTGGGAGAACTCGGCTCCACCGCAGTGCTTCTGCCAGCCTGTTCCGCAAACAACTGCATCTTGATCCCACACAAACCACACACTAATGGACAAAACTAGCACTATGGCAGACAGATGTCCCATACACACAGATCCCAAGAATGCCGGATAGATAGGAAGGCCGTCATTGGACATAAAAGCCAACAGAAAATAAATTAAATTAGGCAAGTGGAGAAAGGAGCAGAATACTCATGACAGTAATTGAAAGAGAAAGAAGCATTCATTCAAGGTGTACATTTTATTGGTAAGCTATATGTATTTCTAGGGCCTCGAACCAACAACCTTGACATTGCTAGCACTATGCTTTAGCAGTTGAGCTACAGAAACATAATTGAAGGTGAAGTGGGTATTTTTTATCATAGTTTAATATCGCCAACTGTATAAGTAATTCATTGGTAGGTTGATTTTTGGGTAGAGCTGTTCGGAAAATAGAAGTCATTATTTTAGCAGTTACATTCAGTGATATTAGTGGGGCAGAAATGACTCACTTCACCTTTAAGAATATACAGTTTGAATCTACATTAGAGGCAGTGGTCAATTTTGAGATTTTGGGCTATTTTGCTTTGATAACTTGACTTCCATCAGGCTAATAGAAAGAAAACATACAAAATAGACATTTGATCATTTATTATTTGACGATCTGTTTGCATCTGTGGATTTCAATTACAATACATATCTTTAAAGGCTGTTTTCTCAAAAAAAAAAAAAAATTCTAGCCAGAAATCTCCACTTCAGTAGCACTTAAATGCACTTTCCAGTTTTATTTCCATCTATATTCTGAAGGTTTTTGTAGAGGGGTTTGTTCAGATTTAATTTGCATGATATATATTTGACATTTAATGCCTAAAAACATGGTGAAAATTTCTTTTTTTCTGACTGTTGATAGTATTTTCTGATTTATGGAGTAATAAAAAGAGGTATCCAAAATCCCCTTTGTAAACACCTTTGGCTTTAATATGTCAACAACATGAAACAATGATTTTGAACCTGGCTTTATCCAATATTCACATTTCTGTTATGAAAATATATGCAAATAATTGCATATAAAATTAGACAATGCCTCATTGCATATTTAAACAGTGGATTTCAGAAAACTTGTAAAAGAAAACAATTGTTTTAATTTACTGTTATTATTCAAATGGGGAAAGTATGGTGATATCTTTTAGTTAATGTTTACTCTATTCACCTGTAGTGTCTTGCGTTAAACATAGAAAGCATCTAATAACTCATCATTCAGCCTGTTAACTGTACTTATGGTGTTCATGTTCTGAAGCATTATAAGCCAGGGCAGGTCCGTGAGTAAGAAGAACCGCAGCCAGACGAAAGGTCATTCTGAGACTCTCTTGGTTCTGAGACAAACACATCTAATGTTTCTGGTAATCAGAGACAGAGGTGTGAGTTTGAGAATCGGAGGACCTGGCTGACCCCAAACCTCAACCTTTGGTCCTTGCGGTGATTCAGATGTAAGTGATGCTGAGCACACAAACATAATGTGTCATCAGGCATCTGAGAAGATATGCAGACTGTTTCAACGTGAATGGCACATTAGTCTCACACCATCACACAGATGGGAAATCTGGCCGTAACAGCCACACCTCTTGGCAAAAAAAAGGTGAAGATCTCCACATATGGAGCTAGATTCAGGCTGAATCGGACCATAAGTCATTTGCAAATCCCAGTAAGGAGGCTAAAGCAATATGTATGAATCATACAATTCCATGACTGTTTGTCAGAATAGAATAAGCAATAGTTCTCCATTCCCGGATAGGAAGTAAATTTAGTATAAGATTGTTTTTTTTTTTTTTTTTGGTTTTAAAATGATCAGTCCATCAAAGGAGAAATTATTTACTCACTGTTATGTTGTTCTGAACCTGTAACGCTGTTATTTTTTCAGTGGAACACAGATGAAGTTTTAAATCTTCACGTAGCTCTTTTTCTTTTAACACTCCAAAAAGGACACTATAAAAGTTCAATAAACTCTCTCAAATGAAATCAGATAGTTTGATTGTGAGAACCAATGACATTTTTATGATGCTATTGAAGTCCAACCTGTACCATAATACACTGTTAAGAAAAAATGTGCAAAAGGGGGATACAACAGCTTGTCACTGGGGCAGTACCATTGAAGGGGTATCTTTGTACATTATTTACCTCTAAAATTAGCATGTTAGTACCTTAGAGTAGTAATACATACCTTTAACGGTGCATTTACGGTGCACTGGTGCTTAAGGACATAAGTCCTTTTTAGAGTGTGACAGACATGCTGTATGAATGCTGTCTTTTTATGATTCTCCCTGTGTGTTCTGCAGAAAAAATAAAAGCGCACGGGTTTACAGCGACATGAGGGTAAGTAAATACTGACTGATTTTCATTTTTGGATGGACTATTTCTTTAACCCACACTACAGCAGGGCAAGTCTGAAGACAGAATGGCACATTTCCAAGTAATGACAATGCAGCCATACTGGATCTCGAAGAGCTAACCAATGTTTTTGCAGCAGTTGCTTCATACATACAATTGATGAATCTGTTGTCAGACATGCATGCCAATAATTCAAGCTTCTCTCAGGCTAAATGAGTTTACTTTACAGCAGGCAATTTGGACCTCAAAACAATCTAGAGTAAAAACACATCAACCATGCAGCTTGCCGCTAATGAGTTTGTCGTTTACAGATTCATTTACATTAACCTCTCATGCAGGCACTTTGTATATTACAGTGGGATCTAAAAGCATCACGTGTCTGGAGTGCCGGGACATTTTTATTTACACAATGTGCTATGCCGTCCAGCACCGGGGGTGTGAGATCTGTTTAATATCGCACACAAGCGGAGGCTTTGAGACTCGAGAAGTCAACGCAATGGAGACGTTTCCAGAGGTGCTGTGAAATGAAACAGACCTAAACACACACAGTGCCATGGAAGATGCATATAAATCTAGTTTAAGACTCACCATCCTCCTCTGCACTGTCTGTGTGGACCTGTGATGGGTTGGGTACTGTGGATAGGGCTGTATCCTGTGGTTTGTCATTATCATCGTCATCATCCAGACAGATATTACTGCTTTCAGGGGTTTGGGTCACGGGTTTAGGCACCCTACCTGAATTACTCGCCTCCAGACGGTCTAGGAAGGCCATGTTCACCCTGAAGAGAGTAATCCATAATCAGAACGGTTCACAACTTGTTCTGAGCAATGAAGTACTCCTACTTGATTAGTACAGAGGTGTTCAGATGTCTGAGACCACATTGAAATTCCAAATCTTTCTAATTTAGAACTGTACAACACATTTTAGGATTTCGATACATTTAAAATAAAGAACTGTTTTGCACTGTTT